ACTGCTTTTTAGTAAACCCAGTGTTGTCTAAAACAGATACCCATATTTCTGCTTTAAATGTATAGTGCTTATGAGTGGTCCTTACATTGTGCCTTATATAGTACTATTGACTTTATAAAGTGTACATAAGTATCAATGGACATGCACATGCATTAAAGGTGTTTTTAAAACATGTTCTATTTAATCTTTGCAGACTAGCAGACTGAATCTAGTGCTAAGAGAACCGCTTGTCTAATCAGGTGTCAAGGTTATTGGGCCACAGCGACGACACAACTATCTCCTGTTGATCCTAGTATCCAGCACCAAGGTCCAGTGCTTCCAAGCAAACCACATGGAAACTGCCAATCTTTCTTTCTTTTCCAATCCCTTCTAGTACAAGTAGAATGAGGTATTGAGGGCCAGTCCAATGAGCTTATCCCCCATGGACTCTGGTGCAACATACAGGATAATGTTTGGTGTGTGAACTATTTCTATGCTTCCAGTTACCAATTAATTACACAATCAGCCGTGCTGGGAACTACCGTTGGGATGCAGGTTAATGGATAACTCTTGTTCTGGCAGAACAGTTTGTTCCTCATCTCATTCTACAACGTGGTTAACACAGACCTGAGCCACTGAAGGGATTTTGTGTCACTAAAACGCTGAGCTACAGAAACCTCCCCTCAGTAGCTATAATGGACCATACTGCTCTGACTGCAGTACAAGGTGTGTATTTGGAAAGAGGTGCTCAAATTCCCAGAATGCTAGTCTAAAACAAAATCATATCAAGGAAGAATATGGAGCAATGGCTGATGCATCATTACTCATTACCAAAGTGGTAGATGGGACTCATGAGGCAAGCAGGACTGACCAAGAGCTGTTTAATCTGGGCCCGAGTGATAAGACCGAGAAATGCTGACAGAGACAGTGGAGGGTGTGCAACTAAATAATTGCATGAGAAGAACAACTTCCTTTTATGGAACAGGGCTTCCCCCATCTGATCTATAAATCTGTTCTAGGGTTCTTCTAAGCAGGGTTGGGGTTTGGCACAAGGTTCATGTGGGGAAAATAATTCCACTCGTGCAATTATTTAGATGAATACCAACCAGTAATTTAAATCCAGAAACTGGGGAATTTGAAGCCTACGTACAGTCTGTTCTGAACTTTCACCCATGTTTTCCACAAAAAATAAGACCTGAGTTCAAAAGGGCAGGAACTCCTCTCTTTGCTTCTAGCTGTTATTTTTTCTTGGGTGAGCAAGTCACAGGTATTTCCCCATATTTTAATAGATAACTCCCACCTGGTGTGGGGGGGGGGGAGAGAAGTGATGAAGTGGCAGCCTGCAAACTGGATCAAGACTGCCAAGCCATCCACTGAAGGCCACAAACTTCCAGCCTCAAATAGCAGTGGCAACACAGGTGCTTTAAAAGGTACTTCTCCTCCCTTTAATATGCTGCTGTTCTAGGAGGTTGAAGTGGAAATAGGAAGGAACACTCCAGTATGCTTCACTGTTTCTTGAGCCAGGAAAGGCAGGGGGGGTGGGAGAGAGACAGGGTCTAAACTTTAGGCTCTAAAGTTACCACAGAGTCTTGCAATTAAGTCTATGATTGGTACAGAAAATCACTGAATTATAGAATTCAATGGAAGAGACCGCAGGAGTTATCCAATCCAACCCCCTGCAATTCAGGAATCGGGCACCTGTGTGCAGGTGTATGGAACCATTGGTCCTCCAGATGTTGCTGAACTACAACTCCCATCAGCCCCTGCAAGCATGGCCAACAGTCGTGAGTGATGGTTGTAGATTACAGCAACATCTGGAGGACCAAAAGTTCTCCCTATCCAGCTTTGTGCTTTACACCTCTGCTCAAAGTTCTACAAAGCAGCAAAATTCATTGTTTGGTTGACCTTCTGAGCTTACAGAGTTCAGAGGATTGTCATGAGGCTAACTTAAGTTGAGAATTACTAAATTCTTCATACTTCAAACATCTGAGGGGCAGTTATGCCAATGATGGAGCAGACTTGTCTCTGGTATATCAGAGGCCATAGTTAGAACCAATGGGTGAAAACTGCGGGGAGCAGATTTGGGTTAATCTTTAGGAGAATCTTCCTTATGCTATGAGTTGTTTAACAGTGGACCAGGCTACCTCCGGAGGTTGTGGGCTTTCCCTCACTGCAGGTGTTTAAGCAGACTCTGAACAGATGTCTGTCAGGGATACCGCAGTAGCATTCTGCATCACAAGTCCCTCCAATATCTCTGATTTAATAATTCTTTGCCAGTTGTGGGAAACATTCTGCCCTCCAGATATTGCTGAACGACAACTCTCATCACACCTGGCCGGTGGTCATGCTTGCTGATGGGGCTTGTAAGTTCAGCAGCATATGGAGAGCCAAAAGTTTCCCATCCCTATTATATGCTATAGAAATTATATGTAAATTAATATGAATGTGAACAAAGTAAAAACCAAACCAAACCACTTGTTTGGAACATAACTGATAATCTTAGGCCAAAAGGAAGCTGTTTTTTTGAGAACTGGCTCTCAGCAACAACAGCAGATAAATTTATTGACTGCTGTGCTAATAAAATAAGCCAATCTAATTTAAAATCAAAGAAAAGTAGAAACCAAAGAATAAACTCAAGAGATCAATTATGGAAGGACTTTTCAAGGTAATTGCAATTTATTAAACATTATTTCAAGGTGAAAGAGGTGTATGTAGTTTATATATATATCTGTAAGTGGGAACAAGCATATTGAAAGGAGCTCAGCTATTCACATTTGAAAGAAAAATACCCATTGATGAATAGCAACGATATATAGGGGCAGTAGCGCATGAATAACAGGAAGATTGATGGACATATGAAGTGGAAGGAGATGTTTGTTCTCCCCTGGATGCATGCACTATTTCCATTAATCCTGCTGTGTGAATTATACATGCACATCAGCAGAAGAATATTATATATACACATACCAATTAAAGGCTGATGGCTTGAGAAACAAAGCCACATCAAGGGAGATTGCCGTCCCATACAGTACTCCAAGTGTTGAGCTGTAAATTATCTCATTAAAATGATTAATTACATACATTTAGGAACAAATTATAGTTATTTTCTAGACATTGTGTGGACACCTATTCACCAAACAGACTAATGGCTTTAAGCCTTGGAAACTGGTGCTGATGGGCCATATAAAAGCTGCCGTGCCTAATAAACATGTGTATACATTCTTTAAACAACAGAGATTATGCTTGAACAATTGTATTTAGATTATATAATCTAGACATATATTCCAAAGACAGCTCAGATATTTAGATTCCTTTTTTCACTTCTGGAAGTCAGTCTGTGGATTTCAGCTATGGCAACTATGTGACCTCCAACATCCACTTGTGGTGGTGGAGCCCAGCTGTGGAATGCCCTGGAAAATAAATTAAGCTGAGAGAAAGGTCACAATGAGCTTCATGGAAAAGTAGGAATTTGAACCTGGGTCTCTCTAGTCAAAGGCTGACTCTCTAAACACTATACTGCATTGGCTCTGAAATGTTGAGAATGTGGTCCTGTCAGTTGTTGGAGATAAGGACATTGTTTGCCCCCAGTTTTCACCTTCTGCTTGCTGATGGCTGTAATTTTCTGTGCTCCGAGGCATCCTTTCCCAATTCTATGAGTTTCTATCAAAGAGTAATGTCCTAAAACACGCTGGGCAATGCTGATGACCTTCTTCAAGAAGTATACAGTATTGATGTGCATCCGTTCTGTGTGTGGGGTGAATAAGAGGGTGAATCAATGCAATTTGGGAGTCTTCCCTGCACCCTGAATAGTATCAGATGCACTACAAAGCCTTGTGTTACTCTGTTGTGTCTGTACTTTTCTGAGTTACTAAAATTATGTTGGGTGAGGTTGGCACATCTTCCCTACCAGGAAAGGCTAAGAAGTTGAGCCCTTTTTGTTTAGAAAAATAAGATGAGCAAAGAGAAAGGTCAAGATGAGAGTGGGGCATGTCTGCTACTTGAGTCTTGGTTGGTCTCATGACTGGGGCACCCAAGTCTCAGAAATCACATGACACCCATTTATACTACCTGGGGATCTATAAGTGCTCAATCTGGCAGGTGCACAGACTTAGGGCTGATTCGTGATATGTATATGTAAGACTCTTCTCCCATATCATTCTGGATGGGTTCTCACAATCACATGTAGTAGAAGTACATGAGAGGGGAATGTGGGGTCATGCTGGCTAGCCCTGCCCCTGAGTTGCCTCCTCTCTGGCTGCTGTATGAAGGGATTCCACATATCTGCCAATGTCAGCAGGAGGAATCACCACTGGCCAAATATTCTTCTCATGTGGCAGTCCTACGTTAAAAGCACATCTTAAGGGGATTGTGTGAACCACCCTCCCTGATTCTTATGCTTCTGGTCATACATTGGTCATCTTTGAAGGTCTTTTTTGTTTAGTTTTGGGAGACTGCCAGGAGAGTACTGACTCTATTTTGGCTGTATCCATTTTCACCCCTGCTGGAGTGATGAGGTGGCCAAGGAAACCAATGGTAGCAAGGTCGAATGCACATATCTCTCACTTAGCATACAGCTTGTACTCCCAGAGCCTCTGCGACACTGCTTTCGCATTCATCTCATGTAATTGAGAATTGGCTGAATAAATCGGAATGTCATCTTTGTAAACTATCAGTAACTGGTGCAAGTAATTGCTAAAAATATCATTCATAATATATTGAGAAACCACTGGGGCATTCCATTGTCCAAAAGGCATGACCATGTACACATAATGCCCGTATCTTGTCTGCAAAGCCATTTTCTATTCGTCTCTCTGCTTTATCCAGACCAGGTTGTAAGCTCCCCTCAGATCCAGCTTAGTGAATACTGTAGATGTGCAAAGATACTTCAGGTGCTCTAGAATCAGAGGGAAAGTGGTGACTGGGTATCGTGATTTGATTAAGAGCTCTGAAGTCCCAGTTCTCCACATAAGAGAGAGACAGATGAACTTTAAAACAAACAAGAACAACAACAACAAACACCACCCACAAATAAGATCTGCAACTCTTATTTCCATCATGAATTTTACACTCATATGTCCAAATTGTTGTCCACTATTATTTGTAAAGATGTATCAACAAATTTATCTTCTTTTTCTCTGTCGCCTGTACAGGAAATGTAATTATGTATTTGTCAGAATAGTTTATTTCAGAATCTCACACACACACACACACACACACACACACACACACACACACACACACACATATCCCCGTGGCATGTATCATCATGAAGTTTCTTCCTGTAGCATGAAAAATTTCAAGTGTGAGTCAAAATTATGAGTCAAAACCCCAAAATTCTTGACATTGATTTGTACAATATAATGGTAAAAATCAGGTTGAGAGTCATTGTGTGCCACTGAAACAACTGCACATTACTTCTCTGTTCATCCCTTCTTCCTCTTCCTCTGTTGATTCCCTTTTGTCAAATTTTTAGATGTAAGCTCCTACAGAAACATGGATCAGCCACACCCTGTCCAATCTGTCAGTATTTTCATCCCTCCCATTGCAAAGATCACCAGATCATGTTTGTTTTATTTTCTGCCTGTGAGAAAGACGGGGGCGGAAACTACTCTTCCGTCCCTAGTACTGTGTGGTTTTTTTCTTTGAGCTGTCTAGAGACAAGATGGCAGTATGAAAGAGCTGCTTCTCTTGTGCATGTTTGTTATGTTCTTTTATTTGTTTAATCAGTAGAAATAAATTAGGTATGCAACAAAACCTTCACAGCTTTGCTTCCGTTACTCTGCTGCTTTTGAGGTGCTCACATCAGCAAATGTGAGTCCACTGCACCAGGACCTATTCCTCAGGAATGCTGTGCTGCTGTTCCTGTGATCGGAAGGTCAAAGAAGGTGCTCCCGACACCCAGCCCATGCAGGCGCTGAAGACATGGGCTGTACATGGGTGTATGGAAACAATCTACTATGACACAGCTCCATGGAGAGCACAAGGTGAGGTAGGAAGTTACAGACTACCTGCCACATCTCCTCCCACCCCCAAAACATGGAAGCTATTTAAAACCTGCCCGAAAAAAAAGTTCTGTTACTTATCGCTCTTATTTTTTTCTTTCCCGTTTCAATCTGGAAACAGAACTGGTTTATGAATTAGTCATTAGTCTGGGACCTAGGCTCTTCTCAGTTTTTTTGTACATAGAAACTAAAGAAATGGGTAACCCAGAAGGACCTACAATTTCTAAGATGTGGAGGCCCAATTGTGTCTATTCCAGTGCCAAAAACGGGATGGAAAGGTTCATGCGAGATTAATATGGCTGCATAAAGAAGTGGCCACTTTTAACTGAAAGTGAAATCAAGATCAAAAGTGAAGCATACAGGAAAGGGAATATATATATATATATATATATATATATATATATATATATGGAAGCAAGAGCATGCCTCTACAGAGATTAATAAATGGTTCAGGATAAAATTACAAAAAAGGTACTAAGTGAATTAGATGAGCTAGGGATGTTGGAAGCAATATGCAAATGTGTCAGGAATCAGGGTTGGTGCTAACATATAACATATGTACAAGGAAGTATTGTTGCATTTCCAGTATAAGAGAAGTCCTGCTGGATCAGATCAAAGGCCCATCTAGTCCAGTGTTCCCTGAGTGATGAACCAGATGCTAACGGGAAGCCCACAAGCAGGCCAGGAGTACAGGAAGGGTGCTGTGGGATCTATGATCAGACAAATAGGGGGTAGGGAGGTGATGAAATCAGTATTTAAGTCATCAGGGCCTGATGAAACATACTTCAGGTGCTCAGGGAAGCAGCTGATGAAAATTCAGCACCACTGGCATTTATATTTGAGATGACACAGAGGGCAGAAACGATCCCAGAAGGCTGCAGAATAGTGACATTTTCTATCTTTGGGTAAAGGAAGATTGAGAAGATTATAGTTCAGTTCAAGATTTGCATACTAGGGGAGTTTAGGAGATTATCTGCAATTGTGTTTTGGGTGGAATTATAATAGTACCTCTGCCAAGTGCAGCTGAACCAGCTTCTGTCAAAAATTGCAGCTGTAGGATGCAGCTGTACCTACTTCCTGCTTGTTGGCCAGAATATTAGCTGTCAGAACAAGCCTTGTCCTAACTGATGCTCATTGTATGACACCAGTGGTAGATGAGAGGAGTATAGTTCTCCTGATGGTAAAAGACTGATAGCACTCTCCTAGCCATATCCAAAGGACTGCTAGTGTTGTCCAGGTTACTCTATAATATCCCATGCTACAGAGTTGTAATTGTGCATCTAGGTGTCAGAATTAAATAGCTCATCATCTGCTAGGCACTGAAAGTTGCATTGATTGTAGCAGCTATCATAAAAGCAAATGTTTATGGTATCATGCTTTGTAGGCACAGAGGCATTCATACACTACTTAATTAGTGCTGGATTCTTTTTCTTGTTTGTGGATACAGGTTACACCAATGGTGTTGCTGGTTAATGGAAGAATCTGCTCTCATTACTGATTAAAAAGGCAGTACCTTCAGGGTTTGTGTGCAGCACCTCTCAGAAATCCAGCAAGCCTGAGAACAAAACACTCAGACTGAATTGCAACTCCTCAGATTCCCCAATATTTAGGCTGCAATCCTAACACCACTTGTTGTTGTTGTTGTTGTTGTTGTTGTTGTTGTTTAGTCGTTTAGTCGTGTCCGACTCTTCGTGACCCCATGAACCAGAGCACGCCAGGCACTTCTGTCCTCCATTGCCTCCCGCAGTTTGGACAGACTCATGCTGGTAGCTTCGAGAATACCATCCAACCATCTCATCCTCTGTCGTCCCCTTCTCCTTGTGCCCTCCATCTTTCCCAACATCAGGGTCTTTTCCAGGGAGTCTTCTCTCTCATGAGGTGACCAAAGTATTGGAGCCTCAACTTCACGATCTGTCCTTCCAGTGAGCACTCAGGGCAGATTTCCTTAAGAATGGATAGGTTTGATCTTCTTGCAGTCCATGGGACTCTCAAGAGTCTCCTCCAGCACCATAATTCAAAAGCATCAATTCTTCGGCGATCAGCCTTCTTTATGGTCCAGCTCTCACTTCCATACATCACTACTAGGAAAACCATAGCTTTTACTATACGGATCTTTGTTGGCAAGGTGATGTCTCTACTTTTTAGGATGCTGTCTAGGTTTGTCATTGCTTTTCTCCCAAGAAGCAGGCGTCTTTTAATTTCGTGACTGCTGTCACCATCTGTAGTGATCATGGAGCCCAAGAAAGTAAAATCTCTTACTGCCTCCATTTCTTCCCCTTCTATTTGCCAGAAGGTGATGGGACCAGTGGCCATGATCTTCGTTTTTTTGATGTTGAGCTTCAGACCATATTTTGCGCTCCCCTCTTTCACCCTCAATAAAAGGTTCTTTAATTCCTCCTCACTTTCTGCCATCAAGGTTGTATCATCTGCATATCTGAGGTTGTTGATATTTCTTCCGGCTATCTTAATTCCGGCTTCGGATTCATCCAGCCCAGCCTTTCGCATGATGAATTCTGCATATAAGTTAAATAAGCAGGAGACAATATACAGCCTTGCCGTACTCCTTTCCCAATTTTGAACCAATCAGTTGTTCCATATCCAGTTCTAACTGTAGCTTCTTGTCCCACATAGAGATTTCTCAGGAGACAGATGAGGTGATCAGGCACTCCCATTTCTTTAAGAACTTGCCATAGTTTGCTGTGGTCGACACAGTCAAAGGCTTTTGCATAGTCAATGAAGCAGAAGTAGATGTCTTTCTGGAACTCTCTAGCTTTCTCCATAATCCAGCGCATGTTTGCAATTTGGTCTCTGGTTCCTCTGCCTCTTCTAAATCCAGCTTGCACTTCTGGGAGTTCTCGGTCCACATACTGCTTGAGCCTTCCTTGTAGAATTTTAAGCATAACCTTGCTAGCGTGTGAAATGAGTGCAATTGTGCGGTAGTTGGAGCATTCTTTGGCACTGCCCTTCTTTGGGATTGGAATGTAGACTGATCTCCTCCAATCCTCTGGCCACTGCTGAGTTTTCCAAACTTGCTGGCATATTGAGTGTAGTACCTTAATAGCATCATCTTTTAAAATTTTAAATAGTTCAGCTGGAATACCATCACTTCCACTGGCCTTGTTATTTGCAGTGCTTTCTAAGGCCCATTTGACTTCACTCTCCAGGATGTCTGGCTCAAGGTCAGCAACCACACTACCTGGGGTGTACGAGACATCCATGTCTTTCTGGTATAGTTCCTCTGTGTATTCTTGCCACCTCTTCTTGATGTATTCTGCTTCTGTTAGGTCCTTACCACTTTTGTCCCTTATTACGGTAATCTTTGTACGAAATGTTCCTTTCATATCTCTGATTTTCTTGAACAGATCTCTGGTTCTTCCCATTCTGTTGTTTTCCTCTATTTCTTTGCATTGCTCGTTTAAGAAGGCTTTCTTGTCTCTCCTTGCTATTTTTTGGAAATCTGCATTCAATTTCCTGTATCTTTCACTATCTCCCTCGCATTTTGCTTGCCTTCTTTCCCCCGCTATTTGTAAGGCCTTGTTGGACAGCCACTTTGCTTTCTTGCATTTCTTTTTCATTGGGATGGTTTTCGTTGCTGCCTCCTGTATAATGCTGCAAGCCTCCACACATAGTTCTTCAGGCACTCTGTCCACCAAATCTAAATCCTTAAACCTGTTCCTCACTTCCACTGTGTATTCATAAGGGATTTGACTTAGATTGTATCTTACCGGCCCAGTGGTTTTTCCTACTTTCTTCAGTTTAAACACCACTTACCTAAGAGCAAACCTCATTGAATTCAGTGGAACTACTTTCTGAATAAACATGGTTAGAATTGCACTGTAAATTGCTGTGCAAATGGCATTTTTAAAAAAATGGTTTAAAGGACCAAGAATTCACCACTGTAGCACACCTGTATATTTCTGCCATGTCCACATACATGCTTTCTTGCTTAAGAGTTGTATGCTGTGATATTTAGACACCTGCGTAGGGTGAGAGAAAATCCTCAGAACTGGGACTTTGACTGCACTAATGCATAAGAGTCTATAGCCAAGCTCCACATAAAAGGCATATCATACACAGGCCAACAGGTCTCACAACAAATGCAACTGATACACAGAAAATACAACCTGAAAAAAGAGACAATGCACATACTTTTGTAAACTAAGAAAATCTCTAATAAAAATAATTTTAAACAAAAACAAAAGGTTTGCAGGCCTTGGCACACACCCTTTCTAGTACACCTCCAAAAAAGCAGAAAAAGAAAAGGGCAATATAAAATTGTACAAAATATTATGATTTTACCAGTGCTGTGTCCAAGCAGGTTTCTTTTGTCCCAGTGCTTTCTCCAGGAAAACCCACGTTCAGCCACTGATTCAGAGCAAACGGCAATCTGCAAAAAAATAATCCTGTTTATTCTGATTCAGTGATGAAATGGAGGTTTTCCTTGGGAAATCACCAAGACAAAAAAAAAAACACCACACTCAGACATGGAACTTTAAAGCCCGGGCCTATGTCTAGAAACACAGCACAAAAGAAAGTCTGGATGAGCCCCAACTATACTAGTTATTTTCAGCTACTTGGGCAGTGTCACTTCTGTCCCCCTCTCCCAATTTTGGCCATAGTGTTTGGTTTTGTATTTTATCTACAGCTGTATCCTCTCAAGCAACCGTGCTCATTTGTCCTTCCATGTCTATGGTATTATAATTCCTTCATTACTGCCTACATACCCACCTAGGCTATTATAATTCCCTCTTTGTGGTTTGCTTGCCTATTTTATTGCTTTTATTATTCACCCCTTGCATTGACATTTTACAAAAAGGTTATGGTGGTTATTGTTTTTTTTAAAAAAAAGTTTAAAGAAACAGAAAGAAGCCCTTGACGTACCTGTTTGAAATTTTACCAAATTTCAGGGTTAATCTCCTCGTGGGGGCTACTATGTGTGAAGGTTTTATGTGTCAATGTGAAACCCTCTCCTTGATCCCCAGAAAGTTATGGCCATTTTTGTTTCCCAGTGCAAGTTAATTGGTGGACCAAAGCTTTGGTTTTCTGAAGGTTGCTTCGAATTTGGGGTCTGAGGTGAGGGTGATCCAAAGTGAAGACAGGCCCGAATCAAAGCACTGAAGTAGGCTCCAGAGTGAAGGGGATATGCCTAGATGTATATAAGTAAACACACACATATTTTACCAAATCACATCTCTCGTTTTCTTAAATTTGCACTTCTGAGCTGTGAGAGTGTCAGTTTGCTCCAACGTGCACAAAACCAAGTTGAGAAACTATTCCGCCTTGAGACCTCCGGTTGTAGGGCGGTATATAAATTCAATAAATAATAATAATAATATTCAAAAGCCCCAAAATTAAGAAATGTCAAAATTTGAGGCTCTCTTTGAGCTTGAATCTCCAGGCCAAATGGCACTCCTGGCGCGCCCACCCTCCAATAGGCCCTGTTTTGTGTTTGTGTACTTGTACACAACACATCTTAACATTAATGTTTGCTCCTCTGGGTCTTCCAGCCTCCAGCCCATTTAATGATTTTGTGTGTGCGCAACACATGCGCAGGTACACACCAAAGCCTCTCCTCTGTTTTATAGGTGGCCTCTGCTTGCTAATGGAATTAAATGTGATTTTGATATGGAGGGATAAAGCAAAACTTATTGTAAGAAGAGCTTTGTTATCGTATGGAGCTCCGGAGTTTTCCTTGTCCTGATCTTCATGCTTCGCTGAATTGTATTTAGCAACGACTGTATTTGATCAGACTGGTGATGGCCTCTACACAGCATGCAGAGTATATTAGTCTGATTTCAGGCAGAGCTGCCCATGGCACAAACGAGATTCCTACTCCCTCTAGTGCAGCAAGTGTGCATACAGAAGACACTGTCTATTACACTATTTAAAGAAGAACTGAACAGCCATTCCGTGGCTACACTGTAATAAAGAGGAACATTTAAGAAAGAACAACCTTGAGATAAAAACATTAAACCAAGATGCTGAGCATTCGCATTCCACCAGAGGTGAAATTCTTATTTGGCAGCCTGGTGAAGGAAGCGCTGGATGTCTCTAAATTAAATAAATAACCTGGGGTGAAATCACAGCTCAAACAAGTGTGTGTGCTTTAGCATTACTTTGCCAGCCTCAGTTCCTACCTGTAAAGTGGGAATGATAATGAGCACACGTCAAGATAAGCACGGTAAGGTTTGTAGTCATATTTAACAGAGTTAAGACAGAGGCATTGCTAAAACAAACTGGTTTTGCTGGAGGCTGTTTTATTCTTTACATAAGAAGCTAAGCTGCTAGTGCACAGTTGCCATACCTAGTTCTCACTGTGGTGGTAGATCTATACCTGGGTGTACTATTGCAAACTGCAGGTAGGGGCTCACATTACTGAATGCTTTTCCATTCCAGAAAAAAAAACAACCCCTGTGTATCTTTAAGTGCCGAAGGAAAGGCTAGGTTTGAATGCTTCTTATTTTCCTTAACATCTAATTTTCAATTAAATATATATATGTATATATGAATGAGTATTCAGACTTGTGCACCTCCGCTTGTAGCTGAAAGTGGTCTAGACCAAACATAGTTTCCGCACCTCTGTGAGAACTCTGATCTCATTAACAGCACAGGTGTGGCTTAATTTCTTCATAAACTGTGCAAGCTTAGCTGGGTGTAAAACTAATAAATACCTTTTAAAGTTCTTTGAATACCATGAGAGAGTAATGCAATACCCTAGTTGTGTTGGGGGCAGGAGAAGAGAAATATGCTGCTGCTGTTGTGGCAGAACAGCTACTGTATCCTATATGTGATCAGCCTGGCAGGGAATGGGAAAACACACAGCCAGAAATATATTTTTTAAATAGTTTTTTTAATGGCATAAAAACAACAGACAGGCTGCTACTGCCCACAAGTCTGGGACTGGGCTGGTGTTGATGCCCATACTGAGACGGCCACTAAATCCACAATGACAAGGACAGACTTCCCAGCGTACCCCCTTCATCAGAGCACCTTGATGCCATAGCAACCTCATTCCATCGGCTTCAGTGGCACAATCCTCAACAATCCCACTACAGCCAGTCCCAGGCTATCCCACAGGAAGGGATCCAAAATCCCAGTCATTGTGTACAATCAGGGCAACGCACACAGACAGAGAGGAGGAAGAGCCCATCAAACAGAGCAACCACACAGCTACCAGGGCACGAGGCCTGCAGAAAGCCCACACAAGATCCACCCAGCGAAGGAAATACTCCTTTGCCAAGCAGCCAAAGGCAAGGGCCAGGACACTCAGCAAGGGGAGCCAAAGGCACACGACAAGCAGTACTCACTGCATAGGGCATAGGATTGGGAAGCAGGGGGTGATAGCTGGAGCCTCACTAGGAGAAAAGAGAAAAATGCCACCGCTCACTCTTTACATACTGGGCAAAAGAGAGGGAGGTCCCACAACTGCAGGTAGCACAGAGCAGTTCCTTGATGGCTCAGCCACAGCAGCAGACACCGCATGGGGCATTTGTAAGAAGGTAAGAAGTTCACTGCTGGGTCAGACCAAAGGCCCATTTAGTATGGTGTCATGTTCTTACAGTGGCCAGCCAGCTGCCCATGGGAAGAGCACAAGCAGAAACTGAGCACAATAATGCTCTCTCCACCTGTGATTCTCAGCAACTGGTATTCAGGGAGCATACTGCCTCTGACAGCGAAGACAGACCATAGCTATTATGGCTAGTAGCCACTGATAGCCTTATCTTCCTTGAATTTGTCTGATCCACTTTTAAAGCCATCCATGTCTGCGACTATCTCTATCTCCTTTGGGAGCGAATTCCATAGTTCAACTATGCACTGTGTGAAGAAATATTCTTCTGTCTGTCCTGAAATCTTCCAGCATTCAGCTGCTTTGGAAGCCTGCAAGTTCTAGTGTTATGAGACAGGGAGAAAAGCCTTTCTCTCTCCACTTTTAAAACACTGCATAATTTTGTTCACTGCCATCATGTCACCCCTTATTCTCCTTTTATCTAAAATAAAAAAAATGCTCCATTCCCTTGATAATTTTGGTTGCTCTTTTCAGATGCTTCTCCACCTCTGCAATATCCCTTTTGATGTGAGGTACCCAGAAGTGTAAATAGTATTCCAAGCAGTCATACAATAGATTTGTATAACAGCATTATGATATTGAGTTTTATTATCAATCCCTTTCTTAATGATGATTTGTGTTCCCCCTGTGCCAGCACGCAATCATAGATGCCAGGTGGAAAAGCTCACATTTTACATGCAGGGGATCCTAAATTTGAATGAGGGTACCACTTCACATTTCAAAAGGTGAACCCCATTCTTAGGCATGTTTGATCCAACCTACAGGAATGCTGCATGGATGGATAGCCTGACCCTGCTGTGGGTCAAATTGTGCTTTAAAGGTAAAGGTAAAGGGACCCCTGACCATTAGGTCCAGTCGTGGCCGACTCTGGGTTGCAGCACTCATTTCGCTTTATTGGCCGAGGGAGCCGGTGTACAGCTTCCGGGTCATGTGGCCAGCATGACTAAGCCGCTTCTGGTGAACCAGAGCAGTGCACGGAAACGCCATTTACCTTCTCACCAGAGCGGTACCTATTTATCTACTTGCACTTTGATGTGCTTTCGAACTGCTAGGTTGGCAGGAGCAGGGACCGAGCAATGGGAGCTCACCCTGTGGCGGGGATTTGAACCGCCAACCTTCTGATCAGCAAGTCCTAGGCTCTGTGGTTTAACCCACAGCGCCACCCGCATCCCTTAATTGTCCTTTAGCCCCTTTCTATTATTTTCCCAAGAAGTTGTGTTACGTGCCAGTGGAATTCACATCCTCTCCTCCTTCTCATTCTCTTCCTGACCTGCCTGTGTTATACACACCAGTTGTGTACCTAAAAGTCATGCCGCTCTCACTCCAACAGAGGAAGCAAGGACCATTGCCTCTGAGAGGCAAGTTCCCTTCAAAATCTCTTCGAAGCAGCTGAAGCAAAATGATGATACCAG